TTATAGCCGGTGAACGCGAAGAAGAAGAACATATAGTTAGTAAGTAAGTAAGTAAGTAAATTTTGCCCCACCAGGACATCGCACAGAGCGATAAACACCCGGTGACACAAAGTGCCACCATATGGTTGAGGATCCCCCGTGGAGAGGTCCCAGAAACCCCTTTCAGACGTTAGGGCATATCTATGCGTATGCTATATTTATGGCCCGGTTATATTCAGGGTCCCCGGCAAAAGCCAGGGTGGGGGCTTTAAATAACAAAAAATTGCATCCCACATGGGGACGACAGAAGAAGAAGATATACACTCCGTAAACTGGAGAGACCCCCAGTTAGGTTTATGGTGACCGTAACTAATTCTGCCCATATGGCACACATATAGAGCACCTTGAACATTCGTATATTTGTCCTAGAGTATTTTTAACGTCCTTGTACGCGACCTCAAACAGGCATTTACCAAAAACTACAAACATAATGCCACCGCCACAAATCAAACAACCAGCTTTGGACAAAGTCTGTCCCATAAACAGGGACATAATCATTTATATTACTCTCTAACGCTTTGAATCCTAGAAACCGTTCAAGAGAGATAACTGGATGTAATGAACCTCCTGCGTGCGGTAACAGTTATCTCCCTGTAACTCTCCCGGCAGCATAATGCTATTGAGGCTTATACCCAACTTTATACTTCCAACAGAGTTATGAACTGAATAAACATTATCGAAACATATAGCCAGTAAGTTAGTTTATTCTTTGTTTGTCACCTGGCTGGGTTGTTCTTTGATATGTTTATTGCTTCGTTGGCTAGGTTGGGAGCTGGTGGCTGGTGTTAAATCCTCAATCCCACTGGACAGCAGGTTAGTGTGTAATCAATCCTTAACCGTTTTGTGGTGCCCTAGTATAACTGTGCTGTATGGCTTTTTGGTTCAAAGGGGTTTCCAGGATTTGTACTTTTGATTGCACTTACATATACATTCACGCTGTTAAAAAGATATCTAAACTTAAGTATGAGTGCAAGAAACAGATTATAAACAGCATATTCACACCAATTGGAACCATACCCATCGTTAAATTTATTGAGAAGCAAAGAATGAAACGGTTTGGTCACCTAATGAGAATGGAACCAACGATGCCAGCATCAAGAGCATACAACATGAAAATCGAAACACCAAGAGGCAGGGGAAGACCAAGAAGAAGATGGATTGAAGGGGTCACGGACAACTTGAGACTTCATAACATCACGGCATATGAAGCGACTGAGCGCTCCTGGCTCGGTTGCCGATCATCTGATAGACTGCGACGCCTAGCGGCACAAGCAGATTTTGACAAAAGAAAGAAAGAAGATTCACACCTACTCTGTGGTACCAGTGCCAGGCTTGGACATTATCAAAAGCTTTAAAATGAGATGACTGAGACAAGCTGCCAACTTAACCATCCGAGACAAAGTTAGAAATGATATTATCAGACGGACTGTAGGAACAACACCATGCAGCAGATTCATTGAGAAACAGAAGATCAAAGGGTCTGTCATTTAGAAAGAAAGCAGTGAGAACAACTACCAACGCAGGTGTTACACATGAAAAGATCTAAAGTGAAACCAAGAGGCCGCCCTAGAAGAAGATGGACTGATGACATTAAAGAGTTTCTGCATCAACACAAAACGACAATAGCTAACACTGCCTATCAAGCAATGGATCACAAACTGTCCCTCCTCACAATACATAAATGCAGAAATGGAAATTGATGATGATGACGATGTACTTTTGATTCTCAACCTTCAGATGTTTAATGCTACAGATTGCAAACCTGAAAGGGGGTGGTTTAAAAAAAAAAAAAATCCTGGGCCTAGACCAGAGATTTGCTCCTGTTTGACTCTTATCTGTGAGGTGTTAATCCTACAGACTGCAATCCTGAAGGGGAACAATCACTTAGCAATGCTGAGAGTAGGTAGGTCAGTTTATCTGCTATCTGGTGGCTGAGTTGATTCATTACTTGGCGGGTCCATTTGTTTGTCGGCTAGCGAGTGAATGGGTTCTTTGCTGGTTTGTGAGTGGGTTCATTTGCTGGTTAGTTGGTGAGTGGGTGAATGAGTTTTTTCCTTCCATGTTATTTCGTTGGCTTGCTTGTGAGAGTTTGGTTTAATCCTTGGTTAGTTCTGGTTTATTGGTGAGATAGGGTGCCTGAGTTGATCAGGTTTTTTTAGCTTGTCCACTGGTTTGCTAGCCGGTTATCTAGTGGGTCCATTTACTGGTTAGTAGGTGGATGAGTTGGTTCAATAGCTGGGCAGACCCATTCCTAAATATAGGTTGAGGAAACAAGGATGTCCAAAATAAACCCTAAGAGGAATATTTTAGAGAAAGGCCAAACATGCTGAACTGGACTCCATCCATGATACTGAAATGGTTGCAAAAGATAGAATAGACTGCAAATGTTTTGGGTTTTGCTTCCGTATTGATAACTGATCTAGACCCATCTTAAACTGGGTATCAGAAAATTTTCTAGGAAATAAATGCAGACAGCAATATGCAGAGAGCAACCATGAAGTGTTGAGTATAAAGAAATGGGCCTAGCATTGCTTTGCTAAAGTGTTTATTATTAAGGACACATTAAACTGATCAAAATGTGAGTTGCAGGGCTCCATTTTAGAGAACAAAGAATAGACCCGCTATCCCCTAACATGCATGTCATTAGAGGCGACTTTAAAAAAGGGGTGTTACCTGCATACTCAGACTGCATGGTGGCCGAGAGGCAGGGAACCAACAACAAAAAAGCCACATCTGGTAAAACTGATGTGCAAGCAAGACTCAAGTTCTGGATCAAGATCAAAACTCCAGCAGGAGGAGAGGAACAACCAGAACTTTCTGCCCAAGTTTACAGCTGGTGAACTCTAAGAAACAGAAACTGACTAAAAACCGAAGAGGAAGAAACTGATTGAAAACCTAGAAAGAATAAACTGATTTTATAAAACCTAGGAAGAAGAAACTGATTTTTTAAAAACCTAGGAAGAAGAAACTGATTTTTTTAAAAACCTAGGAAGAAGAAACTGATTTTTAAAAAACCTAAGAAGAAGAAACATTAAAAACCTAAGAAGAAGAAACTGAAGTTGAGATCATATATCTTTTCGGTGGCAACTTATGGATGTGAGTCATGAACTCCTACTCAACCACTGATGATCACATTGGAGCTTTTAAATAGAAATGCTACACAAAAATTCTTATCACACCATGGACTAGGAAGAAGAAAAACCTTGATAACTTACATAATCGGAGCATCAAAGAGAACTGCCTCATAAACAGCATCCTGTTCTGGAAAGCTGGGGCATTCTGACCATGTTATGTCATGGTGGCCTGGAAAAGATGGTGACTGAGGGTACAGTTTCCAGAGAATTAGGCACAGGCCAACAACCGTGAATGAGGATACAAGACACTGATGATACACTAGCTATGAAAGCCCATTGGGCTTTAAAAGAAAACTAGAGAGATAGACTTGGAGGCATGCAGTGACGAGAGTGGCATTCTGTAAAGAACATGCAGACTGACGATGTTGAGGAATTGTATATTCAATTGTGTATATATCTAGCGTGCGTGTGTGCTTGTGCGTGCGTGCATGCATGTGTGTGTGTGCATGCATGTGTGTGTGAGATTATCCCCCAAAAATATACACTATGACTATATTTCAACTCAACTAAAACTCACTGGCAGGCTGAAACTGGCCCACAGAGGCCTAACAAGTAGCCCCCCTGGATCATTGCCAGTTGTACTGTATTACAAATCTTTATACTGCAGGGCTCTGGCCAGTGAAGATCCCCATTTTAAACATGCTGACCCCTGAATTAACACAGCTAAATAGACCTGCTGTACACTGTATATATGATTTCATTTTTCTTGCTGTTAAGTTAATAATTTAGATTTTTTTTTTAAAGAAAAGGACCCTTTTCTATGCATTGAGACATATAGGGCATATAGGGCTAGACCTATATTAATGAATTATATATTTTATCTTTAATGTGAACAATATTTTATATTTTGGACTTTTTTTGTAATAAATGTTTAACACGTACAGTACAATACATAAGACAATTGATAAAGTACTGGCCTGTTCTAAGAGGTCAGAAAATATGAATAAGAGCAGGGAATGGTACAAAGGGGTTTTTCAAAATGAAATGGGTGAGGTAGAAACTGAGTATGTATAGTAGTACGGCTCTCCTCCGAACTTCTACCCGATAGTATGGCGGCCAAGCAAATAGCCTAACAGGGCCTCAGTTGTATGTAAAATGCGGACTTCCTGCCAAGGAACAAATCGCGGCAAAACTAGGATCAGCTCCGAATAACAAAACAAATGCTATAACAGGATTTCAGGTATTGGTTAATTGCGTATCTGTTTCTGCGACTATGCCGCACCGCCGACATTATCCCCCGCGCCGCTATGTGCGGCGCGAATGGGGGGCTAAACTAGGTGGCTGGAACTCACGAGCAGCAGCTACCGCATCTCCTGCACTTCCTCTAATTTATTTGCTCATGAGTCCCAGGCATCTAGTTTTGATCCCCATCCGTGCCGCTATTATTGTCTGTAATGTTGAGTGTCTCGAAATGGTAAATGGTCGCTATTTTGGTCTGCTAGTATATTCTGCAGAAACGCTTGAAATTGTCAACGGTCGCTATTATCGTCTGCTACTATCGTCTGCAATTTTGCGTCTCTTGAAATTGTCAAGAAATCCTAGTTTTGCTGCGATTTGTTCCTTGGCAGAAAGTCCACATTTTACACACGACTGAGGTCCTGTTAGGCTATTTGTTTGGCCGCCATAATATCGGATAGAAGTTTGGAGGAGAGACGTAATACATATCCGGCTTTTTGGTAAGCGGTCTACCTTGCGCTACATTAGGCCGGATACTGCAGAACTCTACTGCACTGTATTTGTGTAAATAATATTATACTACTGATGAGAAACATCATGGTGTGTTCACCATAAAATGAGTTAACAATATGAAAGAAATAGCCTACTCACAGTAACTCCATACTTGAGCGCGATCCCCATCAACGTATCAGTCCGAAGCAGGTGTCGAGATATGAACTTTCTAGTCCTGGGTGTTGTTTTCCTTGTAGCAGCTGATAGTACCGCTGTACCGTAGCCCATCTGCGACCGGAGCGACTGATGCAGACCCTGTCTCTCGCCGTTGTCTTCCGCCATTATCTAAACTGACACCACAGCCTTCTTGATGTCACAATATCATAATTAATGTCCGGTTTCTATTTTAGGCGGAATTAATTAACTTTTGTTGTGGTCAGGAACGGCCAAGTTATTGTTTCCCAGCAGACGTTGTTCCCCGTGATGTCCCCTTTGTCGTACGTTAGTTCATTAACTTCAATTCGATATCTTATTTCTTAATCATTCGAATCTACAAACATTCACAAACACGTAAACAATAAATTGTATTTACTCTTTGTATTCAAGATAACGCTATCTTTGGACATATGCAAAGTTGCAGATTTGTATATATATATATATATATATATATATATATATATATATATATATATATATATATATATATATATATATATATATATATATACATTAGGTTACATGATAACATTATTGAGCGGCCAGTTCTCCTTCGCGCTACTTTCAGTTCCTGGAAATTTTAGGTTATATCTGCATTCCCATGTTCGTAAAGGGTCCCACTGAGAAAGTGTTAATATTACTTATAATACACACCGTCCATTGAAAAGCATGTCCTGAGAGGCGACCAATTAAATGTTTGCTGAAATCTGATGTGGTAAGTCGAAAGACGCAGATATCGCAGTCTAGTTGTAAACTACAACACAACTTGCCAACCGCCCTTTTATCGGCGAACGGGGAAGGAACAAAGTTACAGTGTTTGTTTTTCGTTGACTGTTTCACTATTATACTTTAAGCAGTTTTTCAAGACGGATCCGGACTTTTTTCTTCAAAAAATGACCTTGGCTCCCATGTCGACCCAGCCTTGAGTGGATACCAGATATAGTCCTGGGAAGTAAAGACGACCGACTTGATGTTGACCACATCACCTACCGAGTGCCGACTGGTCTATAAAAAATAGGTCTAGCCCTATATGCCTGAAAGCGTGGAAGGGACCTTTACTCTTCAATCTTAAGTATTAAATATGTGACTAAAAAAGTAACGAATATCCACTTTAATATAACACTACTTTCGTAGAATTATAGTAATTATAATGTGTAGTCTATCTTTAATGATTTTCAAAGTCTAAGAAACTAGTAATATGTCTTATGATATAACTTATAATATAAGTTATATGTTATTCATTTGAAGTGCTATTAATTCTTTCCTGTAGTTCTATAGGGCCATCTCTCTTTCTATGGCGATTCTTATCGCCATAAAGATCTCTCCCAATTGGCCTAACGATCGTGTCTCTCTTTACTTTGCGATCTCCAAATAAATGTGTCAGTTCAGGGAAGCTGTACATCTTTTCCCATAAATATTTATTACTTGAAAGGGCTTCGAGCTGGCTCTGGGCGCAACGGAACGTTGTAGGGTATTGGCCACGGTAGACTGGTCCGAGTCACCAGTGGAGATGAACTTTTCATCCCTAAAAATCCAAACTGCCAGAGACTTTAAAAAAAACTTTTTTAAAAAAGATTTCAAATTTGCTTCACCCGGCGCCATCTGTCGACAGTAGGTTGGGCTCTGAATCGATGTCAACCTTTGTGAGTTTTGTCTTTCTTCTGTCTTTTTGTCTTTTATTGTTTTCCCAATCGATGTCTGTAAAAATAAAATATCAGAGGCGTCGCTTGGTGGGTGGAGAGCTTCCGTAGCTGGGGGGGGGGGGGGGGGGGGGCAAGTAACAGAAGACTGGTGTTTTGAGGATCCGTGTGGGTAATAAAAGGAGTATATAGCAGGTGAATCATGGTCAATGGGGTTAATATAAGAGGTATACGGTGGGGGGTCCCCTGTCTGTTGTTATGGAGCACCCCTTATCAAACTTTTTGTTGAATGGCCTCTGTTGTTTATACCCACCTCCGTTGATCGCCTTCCAGTAGATATTATGTATGGTATCTTGTTCTGGCCTTCTGTTGGTTGGTTCCCACCCCCTCCCTGTAGTTCTCTCCCACAACATTGAGAGGCGGTCATTGACCATTACACAAACAAACAACATCAAACATTGAAGAAAAGATAAGCAGAAGACGTAGAATAGTTGATGTCTTTTCATTGTATCATTTTGTCATTTTTAAATAAGGCGCTTGCTGATCAAAATATACAATTCATTGTATTTTTTCTATGAAATACATTCATACAACAAAATATACAAGTCATTGCATTTTTTATATAACGCATTTATAGGTCACACACACACACACACACACACACACACACACACACACATGCATGTCATATATTCGATAATACAGACATTATTTAGCAACAATGGAACATAGATTAAATGACCACAATACAAATAGGTATATTCGGATGTTAGTAACAGGTATTTCAGTTTCAATGATATATAGAGAATAAAATACACTGACATTCACAAGGTTCTCAATAGTGACAGTTTTACTATGTAGAGACAAAAAGGATTAGTTATGTATATTGACAGTTTATAGTTCGTTGTAATTTTAGTATATTTAACAAAAGTGCATTTTATTTACATATAGACAAGGCATGTTAATTATCCCAAGGGTTTTAAAAAGTACATTATTATACATATTATTTACATAGAGACAAGTCATATCACAGGACACTATTTTCACAAGTATTTAAATTTTATCCCAGTCATTATATAAGGACAGTCACAGTAAAGTATCTCAAGTGTGTGAATCACCGGTCTAAGGCTGTAGCCCAGTGTCATGGTTTTGTCGTCTCATTGATATCAGGTTGTAGCCCAGTGTCGTGGTTTTGTCGACTCACTGAAACCAGGTTGTAGCCCATTGTCATGGTTTTGTCGTCTCACTGACACCAAGCTGTAGCCCAGTGTCGTGGTTTTGTCGTCTCACTGATACCAGGTTGTAACCAAGTGTCGTGGTTTTGTCGTCTCACTGATACTAGGCTGTAACCCAGTGTCGTGGTTTTGTCGTCTCACTGATACCAGGCTGTAGCCCAGTGTCGTGGTTTTGTCGTCTCACTGATACCAGGCTGTAGCCCAGTGTCGTGGTTTTGTCGTCTCACTGATACCAGGCTGTAGCCCAGTGTCGTGGTTTTGTCGCCTCACTGATACCAGGCTGTAGCCCAGTGTCGTGGTTTTGTCGCCTCACTGATACCAGGCTGTAGCCCAGTGGTTTTGTCGTCTCACTGATACCAGGCTGTAGCCCAGTGTCGTGGTTTTGTCGTCTCACTGATACCAGGCTGTAGCAAAGTATCATGGTTTTGTCGTCTCACTGATACCAGGCTGTAGCCCAGTGTCGTGGTTTTGTCGTCTCACTGATACCAGGCTGCAGCAAAGTATCATGGTTTTGTCGTCTCACTGATACCAGGCTTTAGCAAAGTATCATGGTTTTGTCGTCTCACTGATACCAGGTTGTAACCCAGTGTCGTGGTTTTGTCGTCTCACTGATACCAGGCTGTAGCCCAGTGGCATGGTTTTGTCGTCTCACTTTTTGTCGTGGTTTTGTTGTATCACTGCGCTTAGCCCAGTGTCGGGTGGCTGATACCAGCCTTCGGAGATTTTTTTCTTCATGTGTGTGTGTGTGTGTGTGTGTGTGTGTGTGTGTTGTGTGTTGGGACTTTCCCTTGCCTTCTTCCCAGATGTTTACTGTAAAAAGTCTCACGTGCAGTTTTCTCTGGCTGCATTCTCACTAGATGACAGAATCATTTTGTTCATGCACAGTATAAATCAGTCTGACACAAAGGCCCTTTTCAGTGCCATCACATTTTACCTTTTAAGGTTTTGTATAATTTTTTTTTTAAATACCCAATGAAAATAGTATAGATTAAAAGAAAGAGTGATAGGGAAATAGGTGGGGAGGCAGAGGGACGAGACAGAAGAAAAAGGGAAAATACAGAGATAGAGGAGAAAGAGAGAGTGAATTAGAAAGAATGAGAGATGAGTACAGATGGAGTAAGAGAATGAGAGAGAAAATTGACGAAAAGACAGCACGTTAAAGAGAAAGAGAGAGAAAACGAGAGAGGAAGAAAAAGTGGTGAATAGAATTAAAAAAGTGGAGAGTGAATGAGAGAGACGGGGAGATGAGTAGAAAGGGAGTGAGATAGTTAATGAGAAAGAAATAGACGAAAAGACAGGGACTAGAGATAAAAGGGGGGGGGGCAGAGAGAAGGAATTAAACGACCTCTTCAATGCAAATAAACGAAGACTGTTTGAATAAAAATATTTATTTGATCAACATTTATACGGTGTAGAGGTCTTAGGTTCGAATCTGCATGCTTCTTCTTCTTCTTCCTTCTTCTTCTTCTTCTTCACGTCCTTTTTTTTTACCGCTTCGGGTGTCGAGGGAGATATATGGTTCTGCTTCGTGCTCTTCTGGCTGCTTCGACCATAGACACATCGTGGTGCTGTAGTGTTTCTCTGATGTTCTCTTCCCATAGTGTTCTTGGTGTACCTCTTGCTCCACGTCCTCTCCTTATTTTGGTATATGTCGTGTGTGGTATAGCATCAGAAGGCATTTTCTCCTAGTGGGCAAACCATTTGATTTTTTGTCTTTGTATGTAATTTAGAATTGTTCCTGTGCTGACTGTATCTCGTATGACCTTATTCCTGATTTTATTTATCTCTTCTGGTCACTCCTACAGTCTTTCTCGGACACCTCATTTGCATTGTTACTAATTTTCTTTTGTGTTTTGTTGTGAGTGACCACGCCTGGCACAGGTAGCATAGGGTGGGAATGAATATGCTTTGTATGAGATGTTTACTTGTGCTGACTGGGATTGCCTTATGCTGTAAGAGGGGAGCTAGCTGTCCCACTACTTGGCCTGCTTTGCTGCATTTGATGTTTATTTCTTCGTCCAGTTTACCTTTTTCAGTGAATGTTATTCCAAAATATTTAAACTTAGATGCCTGTTAAATAATGTATGCTCTAGTGCTGTTTAAATCCTGCTTTTTTTTTTCCTATTGACATTACTCCTGTCTTTTCGATGCTGATTCTCTTATTATTTGATTCACATTCTTCATTGATGGATACGAGACGCTGTTGCAATTTTATGGCTGTATCTGCAATCAAGGCCTGGTCATCGGCAAA